ATGAGAGTAGTCGCAAATGATATGAGAGCTAGCAGCATGACCCCAGACACAAAGACCTTCATGATCATGTCGAGTGGCTCCATGCCCTCGCGTCGCTGCTCGCTGGCGGTGGACACACCTTCGATAACCCTGGCAAGGGATGACTCGCTCTGATCCTGACATATGATGACCCTCAGCCGACGGGATAGATTCTTCGTTCCTGCAAGCAGAAAATCTCCCATCTCTTTTGTTACGGGCAACGCTTCTCCTGTGATGGTCGATTCGTCGATTGCTGAGTTCCCCTCAACGATATAACAATCGCATGGTACGGTAGCTTGCGGCATAATGACCACATCGTCGCTCTTCTTCAGCAGCGATGCCGGCAGCACAACATCAGTTCCGGAAATCTGGTAGAGTTCCTTCTCTGCCTCCATTTCGTAAAGCGCTATCAAATGCGCATTACTCTCCTTGCGGAGGACTGCTTCGAGATATCTACCAGCGAGGATGACAACAGTCAGAAAGGAGCCCGAGGATGCATATGGCTGTGAGCTCATCGCCAACCCCCCAGATACCGTTTGCAATACGGATAAACCAAGGCCGAGAATGAGCGACAGACTCAATAGCGTGTCCATGGTGACAGCCAGTTTGCTCTTTCTTGACCATGCTCGGAAATGGATTGTCCGCGCATCCCAAGCTTGAACTCTGAATGCCATCGAAAGCAGTAGCCAGGGAATCACTCCACGCTTTGCAGACGCCAAGAAGAACTTGCCCAAGAATGTAGGGACATATTCCAGGCCAAGGATAAGTGTAGAACATACACTCGCTGAAGATATAGCATCTCGAAGTGATTGCAGCTCCTTTGACTGTCGCAGTCTCTGCATAACCTCCTCTGAACTTCTTTCCCCGAGCGTAGCCTCGTAACCCGCAACACAGATTGCCTCCACCAATCTCTCAGAGGTAGTTAAGGCGGGATCGTAGAATATGCTGGCACGCCCAAGAGGCAGCGAGACATTCGCTCTGAGAACACCAACAACATTGTCCAGCTCTTTTGTGACAGCTGCAACGCAAGCACCACATGTCATACCACCAATGCTGATGCGGCATGTCTTTGACTCTGTCCTCTTCTTCACCGACTCTGCCGGAGCGCAGCTGTCTTCAGCATCGCTGTATTTGATTTCGAGGAAGCGTATATCAAAAGTATCGCAGATCCTAATGATTCTGTTCATGATAAAAGCCGTCAAGATACAGCATGCCATGTTTGGCTGGCTGGACTGAAGCAAAAATCCGGTTTTGGTAAATGTCGAAGCTACAGATCAATCGGGTCTTGCAGTATGTCTCGCAATTCGCTTGGAGTAGCAACGCTACTGTCGCCCACCAAGATCCCGTAAGCGCCTTTCATTGCATCGGATACTGTCAGTTCCCGAGCCGGACGGATCGCATCCTAACCTCACGATGTGTTGCGGCTTTACCTCCCCGCTTGTATCGGCTCTGTACCCCACATCCTGGGGCCACTCACCCCTCAGATGACGCAGGCCAATGTACGGATACAAGCTGGAAGGAAGGGGCCGGGGAAGGGCCGATGAATGTTCACTAATTGTAAGACCTGGTTTGTAGCGATACGCTCGCAACGCCATTGGTTTGTGCTGAGTCGCTGCATTCGAGTCGCACTAGGATATCCGAGCGATCGAGAAGTTGCAGCTATGAGGAGCATTAACAATTTAAAGGGGGTTCTGATAGATGGAGCGTTCAAATCCGCAGGATTAATAGAAGAAGCTATCACGATCGCATTTGTCCAGCCTTGAGACGCAACGCTGTCTACAATGACGACGACGACAACCACGGCCGAATTCACGGATATTGCACCTACATCGCAAGATTTCAAGTCAGATTTGCCTACCATTCGAAGCAATCATGCACCTGCGCAAAGTTTTCGCTTTCAGGGTTCGCCGTCAGCTTTGTTGAGAATGCTGTAGCAATAGGCTAACTAATATAGACGTCTTGATACCACAGCAATGCGGCAAAGGAAAGGCGAAGAGATACTATCAGACGCGTACGCTTGTACAGTATGCCTTTCTTACATTCACAGGCCTAGCCGTGTTCTACAAGATCGATGATCCACAAGCGCGTGTGGCTGGAATCGGTCTTCTCTTCCCAGGAGCAGGCTTCGTTGCAGTCTGCACCATCCCCTCAATCTTGGCACTTTTCTTAACACTAGGCGCTGTTCCACTTATCCTTTTCATGTGGTTCGGTTGCGGTGGACTTATTTTTCCGATTCTGTTGTGGGTAGGATCCGATCTGCTTGCTGTTGCGCTTGCGAGGGACACGGTATTGGAAGCTGCGGGACCCATCGTTACAGTGGCATGTATCCTCGGCATAACATATGTAACATGGCAGACACAGACTGCAAACCAAGAAGCCGAAAAGAGGCGCGAGCAACGCAATGCATACCTGGTAAACGCAGTCCAAGAGAACCAGGCCAAGGCCCAGCCAGCTCCACCTCCAGGATCTCGAGAGGCCGACGAGCGAACGCTCCGATTCCTTCAGTGGGTACTTGAATTAGGTCTTTCGCCCATAGATGACTTCTCCTACCACGATGTGATAGATCAGTTCCAGACTTCGGCAATTCGATATCAGCTCTACCAGGGCATATATGAACTTACAGCCTACCAAAATCATTACTGTCCGAACTTCCACGGCTATCTTTCCAAAGCAGAGAGGGGCTTGATCGAAAAGTCCATGTCGAAAAGGGTGATGAATTTCTGGAAATGGGAGTCGCTTATGGGCAAGTTCACGCTAGATTGGGATCCTGTGAAGGAAGACAACATTGTGAGTGAAGCCTCAGCTGTCCCGGTGGAGACTAACAGCCTGCAGATGGTATCTGGGTACATCCTGCTCGGAGCTGCACTGTACCAGATCGTGACTCGTGATGATCGATATGCCAAGGAGAACTCAATGGAGTTTGTTGTTACAGATGGCGCCCGGTACAAATACGACTTGGGCTCGATCGCTGATGCCGTCTTCCGCAATATGGATCAAAATCCGTACAATCTCTATCCATGCGAGCCCAACTGGATATACTCGCTCTGTAATTTGGTGGGTAAGTAGTGCCTGTACGAGATGTATGCGAGACATACACTGACTTCGTATCGCCATATCTGCAGGCATAAGTGGCATAGTCGCGTCTGACAAGGTTCTGGGCAACGACTACGGCGCCAGGCTCAAAGATCGTTTCGAAGCGGCCCTAGCCAGCGAGTTTTCCAACGCCGACGGCACGATCTTGCCAATTCGAAGTGAATTGACGGGCTTCACGATTCCTGGACTTGCAGGCGCGATCTCCGACGTAGCTCCCAGTGTATTCTGCGGGCCATATCTTCCGCACGTTGCGCATCGCCATTGGGCGATTATGAAGCAGGAAAACTTGTGTTGGACGAACGACGGACATCTCGAGTTGACAAATCTTGTTGGAGCTGACAATCTTGATCCCGGCAACTACAGGAGTGGTCGTGGCTATGTCCGAGTCGCCATGGCCAGCGTCGCAACCGAATTTGGGGATGAAAAGATTCGCGACGAGTTGATACGGCAGACGGACGAAGAGCAGTTTCCGGTGTACGAAACGCGCACTGGCGCACTGAAGAATAAAGGTCTATCCACTCTTGGCCAGATCAACACTCTGAGGAGCAGATTAGGTGCTCATGGCGATTGGAATAGTCTTCTTAAGGATGGGCCGCCAGAACACTGCTTTCGCGCTCCAATTCTGGATGAGGCAAGTTATGACTGTGCGAAATGCATGTGAGACATACACTGACTTCGCATCTCCACGTCTGCAGGTGCCCTTCCCTGAGGTCCTCGTTGGAAAGGCGTATTCGCATGACGGAGAATCGGTCGAACTAGTACTTTATAATGGAAGAAAGGCTGGAAGATTCACCCTAGGCTTCAAGAACATGAAGGCAGGTAGAGCTTACAGGCTGGGCTCACAGACTGCGGTGGCAGACCACAAAGGTGAGGCTAAGCTGTCAGTCTCGATCGACGGAAGAACGGCGATCACTCTGCGTCCCGTAGAGCAGACATAGCTGAGACACCCTGACCTGGTAGACGTGTGGCGACCTGATAAAAGTGTGGTGTTGGTAGTTGGTAGTTGGTAGTTTGTAGAATAGAAAGAGTAGGCGATGTCGGCGTTGGCGGAAGGATCCCCCGTTGTCCGACCCACCAAACCATTTGACCATCAACGACCCATTAATTTTGACGTACTATGACTGTACCACTAGAAATGAAATGCAGGCTACATAAAAGCTGCTTTGTTACGTAGGTCAGTCGCAACTCATAAGATTGTGATGATGGTTTCGCGGCGAGGTGGTTACGACAAAGTCTTGGCATTATGCTTGGTGTTTCACATGCGAGCCGATACTTGCCTCATTCAGTGACCTGCGACACGACCTCAGCAAAGGAACACATCAATCAGAGAGCAACTTTGCACGATACAAGCGCTCATGAACATGTCGCTCGAGCCCGACTCCTCCCTAGCGAGGAACAGAAATGCCGTGGTTGTCAACCTAGAGGCTGATGCTCAACACCATGATTCAGCGTCGGTCACATATCCGGGCTACCGTCTCAGTACCTCGTGTCGGAAGATCTAACCGTTACAGCGCGTCTAAGCACGGTCGGAGAGCTAGGGGCCAGCCTCGCAATGCTTGCCGGCGGCCGGCGCTCCTTCATGCGCTTTACTTTTCCTATCCAACGTCACGGCCTCTTGTGCGGCTATCCTTGAAGCTTCTACACCCCCGTTTCGCCCAGTTCGCGTGTGACGAACGCCCCGGTCCACTGCCACAGGAACACCATCTCCCTCCAGCTTCGAGAAAGATCGGCACGGCCTCCATGCTTGCAATTCCCAACATCTCGCGTTAACATTTCGATCGACCGAACTGTCCCCGGCGGCTTCGTCGACATGCTCACGCTCCACACACTCTTACGTCTCCCTCCCATACTCGTCGCCGCCCTCGTGACACGCGCATACGCAAGCCCAGATGGCGTTATTGGTGACGACAAAGGCGCTGGCAGGCCTACATATGCAACAGCTCTCACCGGCGGCGAGGGCTGTGACTTCTCCGACATAGAAGACATTCGCGACGGCTTCTCGGAGATGACAAGTCTATTCGCCGCCGCAACGCCCTTCGATCCTACATCGCAGCCTGCACGAGAGTTTTTCAGCCCCTCGATAACGGCCAACTACACGGACATGATAGCCACGAACCTCCAGCGAGCGGCAAACTACGGCGTCCTAGAAGGAGGAATTGGTGCCGTAAACTCGGACATCCACATACGCTGCGACGATCCCATGAAGCTCTGCGACAAAGGAAACAAGCGCGAAGGCGACCACGCAGCCTACAACATCGGCAACGAACCTCACATCGTCTTCTGCCGGGACTACTTCCGCATGGATTCCCTCACCGGCCGTATAAACAAGAAAGCCGACAACCAGATGGAAAAGGATCGTCTGATGGAGTATTACAACCGCGCCTCACTCTGGGCACGCATGGTCATGCACTTCTCTTCCATCGGCACCGCAGTCGTCGAGCGCCCCGTCCCCGCACCTCCCAACTCGACCAGCGAATGGCTCCTCGTCACCTCCCAAGGCGCAATGAACACGTCCGTCCTCGCCGGCGTCCTCAACGAACAGCCCGAAACCCCGACAGACTTCCAGACGCTCAAGTACGCGTACGGCGCCACGCGCTCCAAACTCCTCGCCATCCTCTCTACACAGATGAGCTACGACGCGGCCAATAACGCGGAGAATTACGCCTTGTATGCGTTGGCGCAGTACATTATCAAGAATAAAGGCTTCTATCCGAGTGTCCCGATCATGGATTTTCCAAATGAAGCGAGTGTGCTTACGAATGAGAATTTGCAGGATGGGGAAAGGGTCAAGTATGCGTATTTTGATGCGGCGGACGTGGTAGCAAGGCCGACGGGTATGGAGTTGAAGGGGGCGCCGCTTCCGTCAGCGGGGTCGGGCAAGATGTTTGGAGCGGTGCCGGGTATGGTTATTGCAGTGGGAATTGGAGCGAGCTTGGTGTTGTTGCCCTTTGGATGAGGCAGATGTGAGTTGGGGAGGCTGTTTTTGGCAAAACTCCAAATGAAATTTGGACAAGGGAAACGATGGCGCACCAATCACGAAAACGATTACTCTCGAAAGGTCCTTGTGCTATTGCACTAGGGACTCGACTAGGAGAGAGGGCCAGTTTGTCCGTCACGACGCTTGTTCATACCCACGTGGTAATCGATCATGGGGCTGCGTAATACACTTGTCTCTGTGGTCGTCGAACAGTTGACACCGTTCGTCCAACATCACTACCACACACTCGGCGATCCAAGGAATGGAGTCTTCTCAATATAAGATCCAGGCCATGGCCAAGCATCGCGGCTGTATTGGACTAACATGGGAGGCTTCCGGGATTAAATACTGAAAGGGATTAGGAATCACGCCTGGATATTCGCTTTCAGGTGAAAGTGTCGAGTCGAAAGTTACAAGAATGATCTTATAAGATTGTTTGGAAGAAGAAGAAGAAGAAGAAGAAGAAGAAGAGGAGGAGGAGGAGGAGGAGGAGGAAAGAACAATGCCATAGTCATTTTACTCTCACGACCTAAGATTGTCTCTTATTGTACATACGACAATCCTAAAGGGATCCTTGATGGCCACATGCTCTTCTCTACCATCTCCGTGTTGCCCCGCCCCACCCCTACGTGCCCTATCTGTATCCATCTTCTACCCCATTCATCCCCACGAAATCCCAGTCTGCTTATTCGTCGAGGGCGGGAAAGTCTAGGTCGCACAACGGTATACGCATCGCAGATGCATCCTCCCAATCGGTTTCCTCATGCATTGTTGATAATGGGAGCAGTGGTCGAGCACGGTCTTTCTGTCGGGGCTTTTGGGAGATGCGATTTGAGATGGATGAGGCTGACGGATGCAACGGTGGTGGGGGTGGTGGTGGCTTCCAGACGTAGCATAGCACTACGGTGAAGCAGATTAGTATGACAATCACCAGCGCGATGATGTCTAGATCCATGGTGGATGGGGATGGAGAATTGTTGCGGGGCATGGTAAGTCCATATATACCAGGCACTGTTTAGCTTCATCTTCTTTGGAAGAGCGATTTGACTCATTGCTCAGAGGATAATACCGTCCTTGTACATTATCCGTCATTCTTCAGTTGTTGTTGCTAGACTCGCGCCTTTGACCAGAAAGGGCCTAACTTGGGATTTTTGGCATGGTGGGCCTGATCGTATTCTGGTGGCTTGGATATCGTCATTTGGTTTCTATTAGGGGACATGGAAAATTGACAGGATCGTGCCGCCTTAGGTACAGGATTGTCTCAGACCATGTCGTCTCGCCGTAGGTGTTGCTTTTGACAAGTTGGAGGCAGCGTCGCTGATGCTGGTTCTTGCAGCACGGGAGGCGGGCTCCAGAAAAGACAGAGTGCTAGCGTGAAAATGATCAAGAAAATAATGAGAAGGGTATAATAGTCCATTGCGCCAATTCTGGTGAAGAAGATCGAAGGCTGTTGATATGCTGGGCAAGTTCAGCATATGAAAGATTTCTTGAACGGTGACATTGCTTTCATTTAAGAGCGGGTTTGAGCTAATAAACACAACAACCCATTTCGGTTATGGTCGGTGGTATTCCAAGTCTGATTTGCACAAGTATCTTGGTGATGGCTGTGTATCTTGGTGCTGGCTTGGTTCAAACTTGGTAAATTTATGGTGAATTCGCGCCATGGACCCGATCGGGCTAGGCAGAGGTGATGTAGATTGGCTGTCCATGCATGCCAGCTTACACGTTATAGCAGCAACCTGCGCCTAGGGGAATGCGTTCGGTTCGACGCATATGAAGGTAAAGCTAGTATAAAGCTAGTATTAGAGAGGACGCTGGATGTACGTTGCTGCTCAAGGTTTTTGACACATCCTGAAAGCATGGTGTGTTTCCATTAGTAGACGGATATGGTATGCACCTTGCATACCGACGAGCTTTGCATACTGAGCGGTCAGATGCAAGAACCGCCATCATTCATAACCTTGAGGATCCCAAGGCAATGCCTGGCTGGTAAGTTGTCCGCCAGTGGTGAAATCGGGATGTTGGGTCTGAATTGTTGTCGCGTGAGTAAGGCTTCAACGTGACGTAAGACAGCAATCGAGCTCTAGAATGAGGGAAGAATCCATAACCACCGACAAAGTATGGGGAGAACAGCTGCTCTTCGGAAACCGAAGCAAGTCTAGTGTCGTACGAGCCTCGGGCTCTCCGATATGACCACTGTAGATCGATGCTGCGAGGCAGCCGAGGCAGAGAACAAGACGATCGCTGCATCGATGTAGAGTGAGGAGAAGTTACGGGTCAAATCGGAAACACTGTTGTCCATGACTCTAGGCTGTGGGATGCAAGGGGATAGGTTGTAGAAACAGCCATGATTTCCCCAGATTGACCCCTGGGATGGCCAAACCTAGAGGTGATCGGACGGGAACTACGGTAGGTTCGGCCAAGGAGAAGAAAGTCGTTTGACGCCACTGCAGCATTTCGGACCGCAGCAAACTAATGGGCGCCAGTCAAAATACTCACGGAGGAGCTGCCCTTCTTGGCCTTTAGGCGCACTCGGATCGCGGAGAGACGGTGAGAAGGTTTGTCCGAGATGAAGGGGAGCAGAATGAACATGGAATGCGTGTAGAGGGCCTTGTTACATGAGAAGTTGAAGGCTGTTTAGACTCGAATGCGCGCCTGCCAATACAGAGTAGGCCAGGAACGCATTTCGAGATGTGGAGAGTGAATGCATGTCATCTCGGAGGACTTGGCAGATGGGTGGCAGGGAAGGAGCAAGCGAGCCGTTCGGCGCTAGTGGGCAGGTGGGCGCAAGAGATCCGCTGGCATGTGAAGGTGAACTTCTCACGCGCAACAAGACGCATGCAACCACTTGAATTCTCTCACCCGAGTCTCTCACTCCTGCGTACATCACCTGGCTTCATGGTCGGCGCCTTCCGGGAATGCGACTGCTCATCGACACGGCGTATTTGAAGCCGGCTGCGCAACAAGCGGCCCTTTGCGAATGCTCGTTCCTCACGTCATATCGCGCGCGACTCTCCCAACAGCTTTGCACAACACCAATCTCGACGCTTCTAGACGCATAAGCACTCGAGAGCCTGGTCGCCAGTCTCGATCCAGCCACTCCTGGGCCCGGCCAAGCCGACACACGGTAGACGGTCGCCTGTCGCTCGGCCTTATTCACCACCACGGCAACGACTCAAGCTGGAGGCGTTGTCGCATCAGTCGTTCGCGGGGCTCGCGGGTGCTACGGCCAGAGGCCTCCCACGTCCCGCCATGAACGACAAAGACCCGCCGCCATTTGGCTGTACGTTGCACTGCTACTAATCCCACGTCACTGGCTGACCGAGCAGACACCTTCACAAACGACTTCTTCGACAACCCTCCCTCGCAATACGACAACAATGGCCAGTCCATCCTCAGCGACATGGAGAACCAGCAGCTCGACAACTTCTTCTCTCTGACCAACCCCTTCGACTCGCTCGACTCGCACCAACTGCCACCCGCTCTCGACGCCAAAGCGAGCGCCCACGACTACAACAACTGGGAGGACTTTATAGCCCCGCCGACAGTACATCGAGTGACTAGCACCATACCAGACCAAGCCCGTCCCCAGAACAGCTTCCACCAAGACCAACAATACCGACATGCAAACTTTCTGGGCAATACCGAAGATGAGCTCCAGGCAGCCACGGCTCTCTTCAATCAGGCACAGCCATCCTATGCCAACGGCCGCTCGCACAGCTTCCATGACTTGCCGAGCACGTCCAACACCTTCCCCACAAATCCTGTCCACGATCTGAATGCCGGCACTCTGCCCTTGGGTCCGCAGCATGGGCTCTTACACGAACGCTTGGGCGCTCTGGTTCCCAACCACAGCACGCCAGCCATGGACGCCCACTTCGCGCCACAATGGTCATCAAGCAAAGCACTGCAACAGCACCAAGCCGAATCCGGTCCGCCGCTGCAGAAGCTGGACTTGAAGAGGTCATACGCGTTTGGCACAGACAACTCCTTCGGCAGCCCATCCGGCTACTCGGGGCCGAACGGTCATCCAAGCGAAGAGAGTGCGGCAAGAGCGTCGATACAAGATCTCGAGGAGACTTCACACCACATACTACGAGCCGTCGCAGGCATCCAAGGGCCGAGCACGACTCCTACTGCATACAAACTGGGGCAGCGCGGTGGCGACGACGACGACGAACGATCCGACGAAGCAACATCTGAAGACGAATCCTCTGACCGCCCAGCGAAGAAGCGGAAAAAGAGCCAAGCACGGAATAGCAACGTCACGCCCAAAAAAGCCGTGCGGAATGGTAAGGCGCGGAAAATGGCGACCATGGCCGACGACACCAGCATCAATAACAACACGAACAACAAGAAAAAGCGGGCACCTGCCACTACGACGCAAAAGACTCATCGCGAGAACCTGACCGAAGAACAGAAACGCAATAATCACATCTTGTCGGAGCAGAAGCGGAGGGATCTGATTAAGCAGGGGTACAAGGACTTGAACGAGGTTGTGCCTGCCGTGAGGGGTGGGGGGTTGAGTAAGAGCCAGATTCTTGTCGAGGCTGCCAACTTTTTGGAAGGCTTGATTGAGGGGAATGAGAGATATCGGGGCGTGATTGGCTAATATACGTGCCATGTGGTTGCGAGATGATGTGTCCTTGATTGGGGGACTTCGAATCAACATCGCGTTCGACGTCAAAGAGTTCTGAGGAGATGGCCCGTTGCGTAAGAAACATGTTGTGCATGCACATTCACGAATTACGACGAGAGTAATCGGCCACGATGGGGTGAAGGCGGTGCATGTTTTCTCGTTCGATGCTAGGTGATGGCACGGCTCATGGCAGTATCATCATACGATGCATGCATCTACGAGTTACGAAGACGATTCCGTCATATCGCATCATCTGACACCAAGGAGGAAGGAGGATTTGGAGCAGGCAATCTGCTACACATACACAAAAAACGGAGTTATGGAGGCTACGATACCCCAA